TCATTTGATGATCTAGCTACTTTAGACATCCAATGTGTGCCACAATTATCTCAACGGGAACAATTTGTATCATTACAGATAGAAAAGGACTCAATTGTATTATATAACGTTAACATCACTACTATTAACAGTATGTTTACGTACATTTATTTTACATATTTTAAAATCTCTCTCTCTCTCTCTCTCACTCTCACTCTCTCTCTCTCTCTCTCTCTCTCTCTCTCGGTTAATTGAATATAAGATGCCACCCCTTGTCACTCATACAATATGCACTATCTGCCGGTTCTCATCAATTGCAGTATCAGCTAAATAACTACATACCGATCCCGTTATTCACAAACAAAAAGTCTTTATTTATATAAAAAGTCATGTTTAGAGTTAACGGATAAATATATTTATACTTCACTTTTAAACACATAATAGTTTATTGAAAACAATCGCAAACAACTGTTGAAAATATATTTCTAAAACAAACACAATATCGATATAAATATAAATATTTCTCAAAAAACATTTATTGAAATCCAATGACTTTCTAATGTATTTTGCAAACACTTTTGTCACTGAATTATATTTATTGTAATTTTGCTTTTATTACTATTGCTTTTATTTGGAAAAGCAATGATTTTTGTTATAACTAAACCAACTCTTTGCCAGAATATATAAAAATCTAAAATATATTTTTTCAAACAAAATTGTCAGTAGTTTATAAACATTATATTCAGTATATTCTGTGTCTGTTTTTGTAAATGCATTGAAATTTTTATTTTGTTGTTTCTTATGTCACATAAATAGCGATTTTCATAGCAATTGCCAGTTATTACAGTGAATGGCACTGTGTTTGCGAGGGGACTGGGAGGACAGGGACGCAATAAGAGTGTGGGACTACACGTCGTAACAGACATATACTCATATACTGTGTATTTGTGAGTGTTTTTTGTGAGACAAAAATATACCACACATTTCGCACAGACATTCAAAAATCGTGTATTCGTGTGAATATATATATTCTGTATATTAGTGTGCATTCAGTCTCTCAGAGTCGGCACAGAATTTGGATATTAATTGTTAAATATTATATAACATTTGGCGTATGAATAAAGGCTATTGTGTGTCGTGAACACAGAATATTCCGGTGAATATTATCTTTAAAAGCACTGCGAGCAAAGCAAACGTCACGTAATTTATGAACAGCTGTTGGTTCAGTCGATTTGTTGACACCTTTTTGTGTGTATATTATCACAAACCGTGACATCAATGGGACCTTAAGACACGACTATCACCGCAAACAGAGGTCCGGCAGACATATGTTAATCAATGGCACGGATGATACGAGTCCTGTGGACAGTCCAGACACCACTCTCATGCCCTCCGCCGCCCCCACGACGCCCACAGGACCGCTCGACCCCTCGCCAGCAATGGTAGCTAACGGCGCCCACTTGCCCGCCCTCACCATCACCGCCAACGGATCCCTCATCACCGGCAACAACGGGTCGACCGGCACACTCACGCCCACCAGCCCTACCCAAGTAGTGACGCCCACCGGCGATCCGGTGGCCAACGGGGGCTTAGGCGGGGCGCAGGCGGTGCTCACGTGTCGCAAGCAGTCGCACCCCTTCGTCGAGCGTCGGGTGCTTCTCGAAGCTAACGGTGCGGTCAAAGTGGGCCGAGCGGTGGCCCGAAGTAGGCCCGCAACCGACAACTTCGTGTTTGACTGCAAAGTGTTGTCCAGAAATCACGCCTCCCTTTGGTTTGACTCCCAAAAGGTGTTGTGTTTTAGTCTTTGCGGGCGAAAAGCCATCACTTTTGGTGATAATTCACGCGATTTGTGCTCTTTTTGTGATTTATTCGTGCGATTAGTGTGTGGTTTAGACGTCTGGCCCACTCAGTGGTTGCCCTGTGTGTGGGTTGTTAGGTGTAGTTCACTGTATCGAGTGATTTGATAACAGTTTTGGTACATTATTCCCGTCCCAACCCTTGTGTAGAGTTTGTGTTAAATAGGTTTGAGATTTTAATTGCATTTCGTGTTTACATGAAATATAACACGAGTTGTAATTATAACAAAATATTGTTTTCCTATTTGATGTAAACATTTTTGTAAAGTTAACTCAACATTTAGCTATAGATTAGTGCTTAACATTAAGTTGTTATAATCAACTGATTAGATAACAGTTGACATCAAGGGTTTAGTAAAGGGTAGGGAGGGTTATGCCACACATGAGATAACAGTCGAGTCATTTAACTGTCAAATAAATCGTGTGTTTTATCATTGATTGCATAAAATAGTAAAATTAGTATTAACTGTGTTTTGCATCCCTGTCCACCACTCAGTTCTACCTTCAAGACACCCGTTCCTCAAACGGCACATTCATTAATAACCAGCGGTTGAGTCCCGCCAATGAGGAGTCGCCGGCACGGGAGGTGTACAGCGGGGATGTCGTGCAGTTCGGCGTCGACGTGATGGAGAACCAGCGAAAGGTGACCCACGGGTGCATTATAGCCACCATTAAGCTATACTATCCGGACGGCTCGGAGGCCCGGCAGCCCGAACAGTACCAAAACGGACCTCAATCGGCACCGGGAGCGCCCAATCAGAGCCAGATATACATCACTTCGCGACAGTTGTATGAGTTGTCGCAATATTTGACGGAAGCCTTACATCGGGAACAGGTATTTGAGAATTTTTTTATTAAACATAACGTGTACTGACTGTATGTCTGTGCGGACAGGTATTGGAGGGAAAGCTGGAGACACTGGAACGGGTAGTTTCTGCGGCCCAGGAGTCGGCCACAACCGGCTGGAAGTCTCTCGTAGAGGAAGACCGACTGCTCAGCCGTATAGAGACGTTGCAAAACAAATTGGAGATATGCATGAACTGTACGCCCACCACAACGAGCTCCCAGTGCTCGCCACCAGCGGCTACCAGTGCCGCGAATAGCAATAATAATAACAATAACGACGACGACAGCAAAGAGAGCGCCGATAGCCGTGAGCTCCTGTACGCGAGAGACCAGTGCCTGAAACTCGTGGACGAGAGGGACAGGTATGAGTCGGCAGCCAAGGAGGCCATCCAGAGGTCGTTGGAGGACAAATTGGTGGCGTCGCGACGGGCGGCTGAACTTGAGGTGTCGGCGCGCAGTGCGGAGGACGAGTGCCGTCGATTACAAGAGGCGTCAGCTGTTGGCGCTCAGGAGGCCTACCGATTGGCCGAACGTAACGACGAGTTGTGCAAAGAGATGGAGGCGTCGGCGGCGCGACTCCGGACGGCTGACGAACAGAGGGCTGCGCTCATCGAGTCGACTGATAAGGACAGGGAGGAGAGGGAGACCGATGTGAACAGACTGAAGGCCCGGGAGTCGGAACTGGAGACCCAGGTGAAGGAGTTGAGGGCCGTATGCGACGAAACGAGCGTACAGTTGGAGAGTCTGAGGGTCGAGATGTCGGCGCCGACCGACGGAAGCCATAGCGGGGGTCACAATACTGGCGGCGCTGATAGTGAGGGGAATGTCGTGTTGAACGGAGTCCCTGAAATGCATACAGAAACAGTGAGCGCCGGTACCCAAACAGACGTAGACTTGAGTAGAGGTGATAAAGAGACTGTCGGCCCACTCGACGACACGGGAAAGCCGTTGACTAACGGTCCCATTATTGTCGTGCCGGAGGGCGACGTATTGCATGATAGGCGGCGCCCGACGGACGACAAGGAGATTATGACCGACACGACGACGACCACCACCACTACTACAGACGATTACGTCGAAGCAATAGTCGACACAATGGACAGGGAGTCGCAGACTGAGGGACAGCCACAGCCGTTACCCACATCGGCACCGCCAACGGCCGCGCCCTCCGACGGAACGGTATTATCGGTGACTACTAGTCAACGGCAGCTCATGAGCGCCGAAATTGATTTACTAAAAGGTACGTACAGTAAGTCCCCCACCCCACCCACACACTCACCCCTTGGTGTTGTACTTTTGTATACGATTCGGTCAATTAGTGCGTCCAATAAGATTGAATTGCAATCTAATACTTCCCTCCCCTCCCCTCCCTTATCCTTTCATACTATTACCCACTATCTCACCCTTTTTACGCACTGATTGATCGACCCGTCGGTGACTAACATCTGGTGTTTATTTATGTTTATGTTTTGTTTTGTCCATATTTTGTGAATGTCTTAATTGCATGTATTGTACGGTTAATGTGGTGTCTATTGGTCACACTAACACACCCACTCACACCCCAACCCCCTCTACACCTCTACACCCGTAGAGATGAACCACGTGAACGACTACCGGTTACGGCACTCTGCATGCGCCCAAACCATACTAAAAGGTTGTTTGTAAGCACGCAATTCCCCCACCGCTTACTAACTGTCGCTACCCCTCCCGGTGCTCCCACGCGCTCATCCATTAAATGCATAACTAATTGATTTGTTTCATTGAACGCGTGTTTGTCGACAGAATTATTGGCCGAATCGCGTGCGGCTAAAGCGGAAACGGATAAGCGATTGGCCCGGACTGCCACCGAGTTGGCCGACTTCCAGTCCCTCACCCGACAGGTGGCGCTCTTTGTCTGCCTGTTCGCGGTCTTCGTATACGAGTTGATCAGTTTTTTCCAGTGAACGGCGCCCCTCCCGGCCTGAGAGGGCGAGTGGGAGGTAGGGGTCGGTTGGGGACCGAACCGCATCATTGTTGGGAAGGGTTGGGTGAGTGCGTACGCCATCAGGACTGCGGGTTTGTGTGTAGGGCCGAGGGATTTGTGCCATATTCTTGTGTACGTACTCATTGAACGGCTTCTCTCCGATTAATACTTACAAAACGCGAGTTCCGTCTCTCTCTCTCCGACTCTCTCTATCTCTCTCTCCCCGACTCTCTCACGGGTTTTGTGTTTAATATATCGATAGGTATTTAGGTTTTAATACATTGTAATAATAATACAGTGTTTTATATGATGTATAAATTGATAGACTATTTAAATGTATTCGGAAAATGTATTTTAAAAAACAAAACATAAAAGCAAACAAATTCTGTAAAACAATTACAAATGATATCATTTTTCTATATATAATAATTAATATTTATTAAAAAAATTACAAACTTTTCATGAGTTTTGTTTTATTTTTGTGTACAGTATTTAACCGATTATATCAGTGCGCGGGTTAGCTCACCGGTGAGTGTTATGTAACTGATGTGAATGAGTCTCTCTCTCTCTCTCTCTCTCTCTCTCTCTTTCTCTCTCTCTCTCATCCCATTCACGTCACACTATAATCTGCATCCAAACCCAAATTAGGACTGGGATTGAGTCCAACTCTTGCTGGTACACCAACTGACAGTATGCGCGCACTCACAGTCTTAAACAGCCGGCGCTTTCTAACACACACATCCAGTCCCATACATCCCATACCCCATACAAAATCTGTAGAAATAAGACATCTTTGTCAAATATACCAAACTTTTCTAACACTCACTCCCTGTCCCCACCATTGCTGCTATTTTATAAGGTTTTCATAGTATTCTCTATGAGTCTAACCTTTAAGTGCTGTCTAATCAGTTAATACACTAATATTGTAGCTATAAATCTGTTATTCTGTTCATTGAATTAGATATACAAATATACATATCCATTAATCTGTTACATAATACAGGTAAGACTAACATAACACTCAATATTGTTAATAATTTCGATATATTTTACGGATTATTTATAACTTTAACTTGTATTTGGAGGTGTTATCACGTACTTATTGAGTTTTATATTATGAGTTAATTAGTGGATCCACTTTAACAACACTTATATTTAATAGTTATCAATTGGTTATGTATGTGTGGGGTAACCCTAACCCTCCATCAATTTTATGATGTATTATAATGATTATGACAAGTTTTCTATCTAATAAAATCATCTAATATTTATGCTTAATTTTAATTAAATTTGCTGACCATTGGATTTAGTCTATAGTTTCTAAAAATTACTCTCTCTTTCTCTCTCTCTCTCTCTC